TATTGAAGTAATACATTCTTAAGTAAATTATTTTGGTTGAAACAATCCAGCAAATGAATATTTAATATAGGGTATACATAAAGCTGAGGCAAAGGCTGTTTAAAGGCAAATGTTCTGAACAAGAAAACAAGAAGAGTGAGCATGCAACTAGAAAAAAAAGAGGTAACATGCGAATCAATCTTTTTTACAAAGTGCTTACCGCGTATTTTTTTCAATGTTTGATATCCGATGACAGGTTTCTTTAATTTAGACATTGGCACTATCAGATATTAAATGAAGAAAATAATTTTGTATGTTAGAATATATAGCTGAAATAAGATGTCGAGACAAGATATGGGATTTTCAACAATGAAGTAAATATAGAAGAAACTGTGAGAAGTACAATAAAGAGATCAAATATAAACTAAATTTGGCCAAATTTAAGAAAGGAATACATAAAATGAGGATAAATTCATTAGAAGGAAGTTGTCATAAATGTAGGAAAAGAAAAACAGTGTTTTAATAAACACGATATATTTGTGGAAGAGAAGAGATGAAATTATAAAAAATTCAAATAAACTGGATAAATAGCTGAGGGAATAAATAAAGAAAAATTCTCAAACGAAAGAGAGCATAGGATAACTAGTACAAAGAAGGAACAGTTCGAAAATTTTGAAACAATGCAACTCAAAAAGAAAAAATACACTGAATATGAAAATGACAGAAAAGAAAATAATGACTTATGGCCAAATATAGGGGTAAAAACATAGAAGCGATTGAAACCGAATCTTATTCGATTTTACGATTATTATAAATATCCAGAGATGATCTGGTAGTATGCCACAGGAATATCAATAGTCAGTTACAGCGAATATAAAAAGGTTTCGGTAAAAGCGGAAAAGATAAGGCATATGCATAAAACCACAAAAAACGAGATTTAAATAGCCTCCGAATGGGAGTTTAAGATGAAGCTTGTCGATAGTTATATTAACAATAAAATGCAAAAATTCAGCTATAAAAAAAATTAGGAAAAAAGAAACAAGCAAGTATAGAATAACACAATGCTAATAGCTTACCATCATGAGGACGATCCAGATTGTTGATCACTCCACTCGCAACATTCTCAACCGCCTGGTAAAATGAAATAAAAACAATTCAAAAGCATTCTTAGAATATCTAATTAATCATCGAACCTTTCACAGTGCACCTTCACTCGAAATTAAAGCCATAAATACAATGCTATCTCATTGGAATTATCTAAACCCAGTTACCCTTCGTAAATATAACCAATCAAATCTAAAGTAAAAAGTATCATAGTGATATAAGTGTTGTTTGATTTCTATACAATATAAGTAAGAAGACCATGTTTGTAAAACAATTACGAGATGTATACCTTACTTAATTAAGAGTCAGTAGTAACATTATAGAAAATTAAGTAGCACATACACCACTAAAATTACGTCCTAAATCTTACTTGCTACGAAAAACAAATACTGGAACAGAGGATAAAAATATACACTTTGCCTTTGGAAAAAAGTAAGCAGCAGCATACGCAACACTCAGACGAAAACTAGTGTAAATACTAATTAGAAAGTTATGGAAAAAAGCAAAAAAAACTGGCAATAAAATGTAAAAGGGAAGAAGTGACATAAAAAGAGTATAAATATTTATTCGATAATACTTAATTTTTTGAGCAAAAGCTCTGGCATAATTCTGTATGATATCCTCATCAAGTACATTACGTAAATGAATAAACCCTAAGTTAAGATAAAAAAGCTATTCAGATTTAAGCAAATTCTAATTAAGCAAAAAAAATAGATACCTACGCGGAATCGACAAGCAACTTGCCATTTATTAAAACAGTGACTTCACTGTGATTTTTTGCAAGTGAATTATTTATATTTTCCATATCTTTAAGGATTCAGACAAAAAGTGTGAACCTAAAATGATAACTAAAACAAGGATATATAATTATCAAAGGTAATTATGCCTATTGATTTACTCTCAATTGAGACTGTTGTTGTTGTTGAGGCATTGCGTGCTGAACTATGGCCTGATGTTGCCGGATCTGTCCATTACTTGATACTTCCATTCCTTCGGGCACATTAGTAGGATAGTAATAAAATAGCTGATCTTCAGTAGGACCTGCAGAGGAAACTGGTGGAAGTCCTGTGATGGCAGGCGACATTTGGACGGACTGACCGGGGAGAAGAGGCTGAATAAAGCCATCCATAAATTGTCCAGAGATCGATGAGATCTGTCCAACTTCGGGAGATGTGGTTGCAGCACCACAAGATGATGGATGCGATGCGCGTCGTAGGATACCACTTTGGGATATAGAAGTAGGCGTAGGTGAGGTGTTAAGTGACAGATTCATCATCATGTTGGACGGGATGCCGGAAGTGGATAAGACTGTATTGTCAACATTCAAACCTCGGGGACTCACAGGACAACCAGAAGGCAGCGAAGAGGGGCTTGATGGAGATGAGGGTAATGGCACTGAGTTAGCTGGTGGTGACTGGCAAGAATTGTTAATAAAATCTTCATTCGCCTGCCGAAGCTGACTACTTGCAGATGGACTTGAGCCAGTTGAGGTTAAGACATCAATAGGTGGAGAGAGAGGACTCTGATTCAGAGAGCTATAGAGAAGGGTAGACGCGAAAGTATATTGAAGATGTTTAAAAAGACAATCATATACATAATTATAATAGATGCATTTACGAGCAAAGCAAAGGTTCAGATGGAAGAGAAGAAGGATAAATAAATATAATGTAACAATAAATGATCGTAGATATCAAGAATAAGATTGCGTGACAGTCTATCAGATCGCAGTCTCCTTAAGCTGTATAGTGTTTGTTTGAGCTCGTTACCAAAATTTGGTAGGAGCATCAGAGACCTTGTGGAATGTGTATAGTCATGCGTCTTCTGTCATAATATTCGCGATTTCTTGCATCTGATCATTTACTTAGTATATTCCAAATGTTTCGCCGATATCGTTAGTGAGAGGGACCATCATTATCAGAGTTACAGCTTACCAAATTTAAGAGTGAAGACAATCTCGTTGACCGACTTTCTGTTCTGCCGCTGTGGCAACATTTTTCGCATCTATTTTTGTCCTATCTTCTAATGCTGCATCTCTTTCTCTCAACCGGACTTCAAAAGGCCTGTTTATCTATACACTCAATTCAGGGCTTTTGTCTACTCTTATATCGCATAAGGGTGTCGCCACAAGTGGATTAGTGAGGCATAATCAGTCCCACCATCGGTTCATAATGATGTTGCCAGGAAAGCAAGGCCTTTTACCATACCACATTCCTTAATGGGATTGTGGATGAAGAAAAGTTATATTTGCTATAACTATCGATTACTTTACTTATTTTTTTATTATAAATAGCGGTGCATGATTAAGAGAAAATCAATTATATGAGATATTCACCCAATTTCTCTTAAGGTGAAAAAAGACTACTTCGTTTGAATTTTCCCACAATGATATTAGTAGAGCTAATACTTCCATTGAATTTCGCATAGCCTTGCGTACCCAAAAAGGTTTCTTACCTAGGCTGTATTGCAATTCTGACCTTGACTAGGTCTTATCAACACACCCAGCGAAAGTCGAACGATCACAGTGAAGTGTGTAATCTCGACTTGTACGCCATAGTGCCACTACTGCCCTTAAATCACAAAGCAAATGTGAATTTCAAGAAAGGCCGTGGCATTTCCCATATCACATTCTTTGATGGGATGTACATAAGGCCATCCCTATCCTTTGATATGATTCTAAATCAAGACCTAGAATTGTTATATACGAAAGTACTCCAGTCATGCACTTTTAGGCAAGTGTGGTGAGGCGTTTTTATATTTCTGGGTGGTTATATGAATATTAATCCGAATTAGCCTTTTTAATATGCAAAATTAACTTAATTCGAATTTAAGACTCCATAAGAAGAATTTTTATCTTACTGATTGACCCATTGCAGTCGCTTTAAGCCACCGTATCTGTTTTACTCAAGGCGTAATTTCCCACGTTCTGCTTCTGATAGAGTTTTACTCTGGTCTCAGCGAGTTGTAGCTTAATGCAAAGAATAACAAATTCCACCGACCATGCCGACTAAGAGGCAGGCTAGACGTCTGGGAATGTGCAAATTCGATGGGCTTACGCTGTACGTAGGACTTTGTACAAAGCGCGTTCACAAAGGCAATCATAAAGCGACTAATTTGCAAAAAAAGAGGTCAAATAACTTTTCTGATGATAATTAATAAATTCAGATAATACAGTAATGTCCAAACTAAAATGCAGATAAATATTTGTAAGCCATCAGTTACAAGGATTTAAGTGATAGCACTATGTTTTTAAGTAGGAAAAACAATATATTGTAGTGACATATTCCTAAAATTTTACCATTCAATGTTTAGTTTTGAAAACATTTAAATGTAAACAAGCCCATGTAAATAGGACTAAGATTTTAAACATGAAATAGAAAAAGCGCAAGTGGCAAAGGCCTAAAATTAACAAGAGGAATTTGTATTATTAATAGAACACATTTCGTACTGCAAATTCAGCAAATCAAATCTGTAGCGTATTTAGTAAAAAAATTGAATAAATATGGATAATGAAACAAGTCATAAGCTTGACGAAAATTAAAATAGTCCATGCACTTGGGCCAAGATCGTGAGCTCTATTAAGCGATAAATATATAATTAAAGTCAACACTTATATATGAGTGGGTGACAGAAAGATTA